CTTGTCATGTGTCTATGTATGTCTGATCTTGGAATCTGTACTGAAACAATTGAATTTCCCTCTGGGATTAATAAAGTATTTTTGAATTGAATTGAATTTAATTCACTTCAAGATAAAACTGTAATCTGCAAACTCCTGCAGGACAAAATCTGAACAGAAAACATGGAAGAGTTTTTTTTATTTTTGCCCTTGGAAAGTAAAACAGGTATTTCCCCTTCCAGCCAACAATTCTTGCTTTGATTTAGATATTAAAGATATTTAATCTCTTTCTTCCCGACTAAACAGTGTCTAAATGACTGCATTGAAAAAGGGTGATGACATTTAATGTAGTTTTTCTAAAGGTTTGTCCGGTCGGACCGAGCTGCGCTGCTGACTGAAACATTTTCCATCCAGAAACATGAAACCTTTTCTTTCGGGTAAATGAAGACTCTGTGTACTTTCTACACATGGTGGTCCTTCAGCTGAACGTCACCACTGACTTGTCGAGTTGTAATGATCCATGTCCCTCAAAAAGTGCTGCATAAAGACATTTCAGACACGGCGTTTTGCTGTTGTGAACGTCTGAATCCCGTCAGCGTTTTATTCTCACGGTCCACTGGACAGACGGCTTCTCTTGGTAAATTACATCTGCTCCCATTCTGTCTGCCACGCCGCCTCCACTTCAGTTATTTATTTATTTATTTATTTCTAACGCACTTCAGAAAAGTTTTGTTTTCACAAATATTACATTGTCTTTCTGTCTTGGAAACTCTTCACTTTCTTTTGTATTTAATTTCTCCCTTAAAGAGACCAACTTTTACTTTGATTTACAGATTTTTGTATTTGTTTCTTGAAAGTGATTGCTGGTCTGAGGCAGGCGTGAGGAGGATGCACTGGTGTGCTAGAGACTGTCTTAGTTTATCTTCTTGTAACTTTTGACATAAAAATTGGATAAGTAGAATAAACAAAGAATAAAGCATGAAAATAAAAAAACAATACAATTAGTTTCAGGCAGCAGCAAATGTAAAAAAGAAGTATTAAAAAAACACAGGGGCAGGGTAGGATAATCCAGGTGCATTCAATCCACCTGTTACTGCTACTGCTTTCCACACTCTTAGCATTCTCTTGATGAGCTTGAAGAGGTAGACACCTAAAATGGTTTTCCAACAGTCTTGGAGTTCCCAGAGGTGTTTAGCACTTGTTGGCCCCTTTGTAAAATGGTCATGAAATAGAGGAAACTCATTGAATGAGAAGGTGCGTCCAAACCTTTGGCCTGTACTGTACATGGAGAATTTCAGAGAATGCTAATGCTAATCCACTGGGATTTAAACCAGCAACCTCGCTACAAGAATCAAGTGTCCCATTCTCCATCCCTCAGCTGCTGTTTGAGGGTCTCTAACTCTTCCTCATGCTGCTCGTTAATTCTTATCTGGTCCAGCAGAAGGTCTACTATTATACTAGAAGTCTATACTGGTCTCAGTCGTGATTCCTGCTCCAAACGTTTTAGAGATCTTCACACAATCGTTCCTTTTCCCATAGCTGAACTCTTAGAGATTGCATGTTTTTCTGACAGGTCTCTGCATTATTTTGGTAATAATCCAGTCCCTGTTCCGGTTCATTAATGAAGTCTTTGTTTCTCTCTCAGTCGGTTTCAGCCTCTAATCATTTTTCTTTTTCATCACGTTACCATCCATCTGTGATTTCCAGCTGTGAATGGACATCTTCCAGCTTCATCGAGAGGAAATATGTTTTTTTGTGAAAATCCAGAAGATTCTTGCTGGACTGTCCCAAATGGAGTATTTCCTCATCTCGTCATGTTTTCAGAGTTTTTCAGACATTTATCAGACTGAAAATAAATGTTTGCATCACAGTAAAAGATTTTTGTCTTCCAGATAATTTGATGCGTCTGCCACTAGTGGTTGGCCACTAATGAAATTAAACAGACCTGCATGTCCTTGTAATGACTTTGAGCCTCAGTGATGTCACAAAGGTGATAAAACAAAATGGGCAGCACTGTAGTCTTAGGCCCATTCCCAATACTCACATGCATTGATGCAGACTTGGGTGAAGTGCGGGTTCAGGGGTGTACTTGAGAATCGGGGCACCCTGGTGCCCTTGGATGGGATCACACAATTGAAGGGTGCAAGTGTGGAAGTGCGGTCATTGGGATTGGGCCATAGAAGTAGTCTTACAGAGTGGGCAGGGCCTGACTTTGAGTGCACTGACCGAATACATGTATATGTAGACAAAAGGGATGGGTCACTATAGACATGGTAAGCAAGTGGGTGGGGCCTAACTTAAAAGAGATTTTAACTCAGTTTCAGTTTCACGAGTTAAACGGCTTCAAATATCATTTTCAGCAATTAGATGTAAACAGAATTTCTTATTTAGCTAGTTTAGACCATTTTAAGTTGGATTAATGTTAATAAATTGAGTTTCTCATTAATTTGTTAAAGGGATATTCCACCCCTAAGGGAAATTTAATCTGTTGCCTTGTTACTCATAGTTAGGTAAGGAAAAATCATTTTGTAACCAGCCCAGTTATCTCCTGATCTGGCAGTATTTTGTTAGCTTTAGCTTAGCATAAAAAATGTAAGTGAATGGTAACAGCTAGCAGTTATTTAGAAAAAGTCCTAAAAATGACTCAATGGTCCTAATGTTTTCTTTGTAGTATTCTGATGTGTCATGCTCCTCGCAAATCAGGTACTGATTTATTTTCATTACGGGGAGGAATCCCAGGGCAGGAAGCCATTAGTCATTCCACATTGGATGGATTTCTATGAAACATTCTGTTATGTGTTTTCACAACCGTTTGCTACTCAAACCACAAGAATTTTCTTCCATTAAAAATGCAACGTACCCAAACTATGGCAGTTAAATCCAGAGCAGCTCGCGCATTTACAGAAGTATCTTTTGATGCCGCTGCGTTGAGTCTTTGGCCTTGTAGCAGCAGCGGCTTACAGTGGTACTTGGTTATAACACACTCCTAAATTTAAATTAGCTTCTGCAATTTCTTCATGTTACTTATTTTCATTTGCACTCATTATAATTATTGAAAATTAGGATTAATATTGAGTAATTTTGACCTTTTCTCACATGATGCTAACGTTTATCATTCACTTACATTGTTTATAGCAATGGGTACCGAATTCGTTACTTTTTAAGGTACCGACCGAATTCCATAGTACCGACTGAGCACCGATTCACGTCATTTGAAACGGTGCCTCGTTTTGGTACCCGTCCTTCATAACGAGAACTTGCCTAGACAGCTGCGCATGCGCAAGAGCGTAATGTCGTCGGTCGCTGCGAGCGAGTTGTAAACAGAGCAGCATGGTAGAAAGAACGCACGCTAAAGCTTGGGTCCACTTCACTAAATGTGATGGGTAACTGGGTGATGATGAAACCAGCGACAACGATCTAAGTGAGACATCCTCATCTTAATCTGCTCCGGTAGGTAAATAAAATGTTTAACATAACGTTAGCTTGATATGTTAGCTTCCATTCCACTAATGGTGCGTTCGCTTTCTCCTCGGAACTCCGAATTTCCGACTAGAAGAACATGAACGCGCTCTAAAGTTTGGCTTCACTTTACTAAATGCGACGGGTGATTGGGTGAAGATGAAACCAGCGACAACGATCTAAGTGTGAGGCATCATCGTTTTAATCTGCTCCAGCAGCTAAATAAACTGTTTAAGATAACGTTAGCTTGATATGTTAGCTTCCATTGCCACCATTGTTATCAGCTAATGGTGCATTCACGTTCTCCTCGGAAATTCTAACTTCCCAGTAGGAAAAATCAAATGAAAAAGGACGGCAAAAGGAATGAAGATACACAGTAAACTTAGTTCACAGTAAAGATGTTTGCTTCAGTTTAATTATCAGCTTATAAAACTACAAGGACGATGTTAAAATACAAACAGTTGTATGTTATTTATCGTGATGTTTATCAAATGTTTACATATTGAGAAAAATATATATTTAATTATAAAAGAGAATTAAAATATTAAACACTCAAAATGATCTAAAATTGGTACCGTTAAGTACTGGTATCGATTCCTAGGTACCGGGAATTAGTACCGAATTGATTCAAAGGTACCCATCCCTAATTGTTTATGCTAAGCTAAAGCTAGCATAATACTGCCAGATTAGGAGAACGACTGGACTGGTTACAAAATACTTTTTCCCACTTTTTTAACGCTGCGGAACATGGCAACAGAGTGAATTTCACTTAGTGGCGGAATATCCCTTTAAGTAGTATAAAAGTCAGATCGTAGGGTTGTCTCATGAGGACAATAGAAGACTAAAGCTCTTGAAAATGTCATCTTGAAGTATGTTAATAAAAGCAGTTGTTTATGACAGAGTAACTATTAAAGCTCAGTAAGAACTCGTCTTGCAGGTCCATTCAAAACGGGATCCATTTAAAGTCAACAGTCCTGAATACAAATTTTTAGATTAGGAATTATACTTCAAAACAGAGCGGTTGGGTAAAATTGATCAATCTAAATGTTAAACAGCCTCATTAAAATGCATATGTGCAGAGAAAGAGTTTATCTGTTTGTAATTTATGACAGCAGTTTTAATTGAGCACCGCGGGTTTAGTGTTGCACCAGTGAAAGTGATATTGTCACACCGGCAGCACCGGGACAAACGGCTGTAAATGGATTGAACCTGACTTGGATTGTGATTCTAATTGGGTTTATTGAGCTGAGAGGAGGTGGGGAGAAATGGTCTTATGGTGGTGAGATTCCAGCAACTCCTGCGTGATTAATGATCTCATTTTTCTTTACATGGAGATGATGAAAATGACTCCATACAAACACAACACAGGGCCTAGTCGTTACTCATTTTATGTGCTGTTGTTTGTTTGGAGGGGGGGGGGGGGGGGGGCAGGCGTTTTTGTTGTTTTTTTGTTTCATGGCTCATTAAGTTGAGTGAGCTCTCTTGTTTTATTGTTTTTACAACTAATAGCGGTATTATGAGCATAAATCAAAGCTGTAACGACTGCTTGTGTCCGTCTGCAGGTGGGATACGAGAACGCCGGCACCGTGGAGTTCCTGGTGGACAAACACGGGAAGCACTACTTCATCGAAGTCAACTCCCGCCTCCAAGTGGAGCACACGGTCACCGAAGAAATCACAGAGTAAGCATCAAATCTTTACTTGCCCGGGTGGTTTCAGGCTGCCGGGCAGCTGCGTGATTACGCCGGTTGCCATCTTGCATGCGTGCTTGGTTTGGCGTCATCTGTCTTCAGACAGGTGCGGAGCTTCGAGGTTGGGAGGTTTCTGCTGGGAAAATTAGCAGAATTTGTGATTGAGATTTGGAGCCGTGGAGCAGCTGTAGAGTCGGGGGAGCAGATTTGGGGCGACGCGCGTCGGTCCAACAGAAATGAGGAGGAAGGTGAACAGGGTGGGAATAAAAGAAAAGATTGATGATTGAAATCACGACCTGAGCGGGATTTGGTGAGGAGAGAAGCAGAAAGATGAGGTCAGAGGAGGTGAGACGACAGGAAAAAGAGAGAGCAGTGAGAGGATGATGAAAGTTATAAATAGCATTGTGCTGCACGGCGGGAAGTGGCATACTGAAACAACACAGATGGGTCTCAGACTGGTGCAGAAGTCGAACACAAACCCCTCAGATCTGTGCTGTGTGCACACATTTAGAGTCTGCCTGATTCCTCCACCAGGCTGGAAGACAACTGCTTACAGAGCGGGATGAGTTCATCGAGCAGCTGCGATGGAAACCAAGTCACCCGTTGCTACGGCAACCCCATGACTGACAACTTCATTTGTATTCAGTCGTAATCTTGATCATTCTCCTCACTTTTGTTTGGTTCCTTTCATCTGGCCCAGCTTTCTATTTTGGGTCCTTTTACTGACGGGAGCTCTTTGATGGACTTGCATCAGAGAAGAAAACGGAATTAGGAAGACTTTCCTCTCGCATCAGTCACCTTCCTCAGAAGAAATCAGATCAGTTACCTCTGTAGTGAGTCTGCCCTAAATCTAATCCCTCATCTGGATCTGTAACGCCCTTCGTGGAATCTGTAAACGTCTATCACCACCTCGTGGGGGCCGGTTGGGTTTTAGTCATTTTTGTTTAGTTTCAGTGACTTGAGTTGATGGACCGTCCTTACCGGGACATGTCAGGTGAAAGGATGCGAGTGGCTTGAGTTCTGCTCTTCCTCCTCTTTGGGCTTCTCCCATCAGAGGTCTCCACAGCATCTCCTCCGTCTCCATTTAGTCCCATCTTCCACACCAGCTACCTTCATGTCTTCTTTCACCACATCCATGAATCATCTTTGGTCCACTGGCGTACTCGTTCCTGATCCTATCCGTCCTCGGTGCTCCCAAGGAGAGCCTCAACCGATGGTGATGCAGAGGAAAGGATGCAGCTTTGACTAGAAGTACGGTTTGGAGGCTCTCACAAATAAATGTCGGGCCGGTAAATGTATGTATAGTTACAGTAATCCCTCGTTTATCGCGGTAGATGCGTTCCAGACCTGGCCGCGATAGGTGAAAATCCACGAAGTAGGGACTCCCAGCATGCCCCTCGCGGGGATTCCCTCCACGTCGCACCTACGTCACAAACCGCGGCTATAAACGGAACTCCCCTTTCCAGCTCACCACTCAGTCATCGTTTCTTCAGATTCATGATCAGAGTTTCCAACCTAGCGATCAATCCAACGAACTATCAGCTCATAGTAAGTTATCTTACTTACTTCTGGAAAGCCCGGCATTTTCGTGTCACTTCGTTGACGCTCGAACGCTCGGGGGTTTCCTAGATCAGCCGGCGTTTCACCGACGCTCTCACTTCCATGTCTGTGAAACCACGCTCCCTACAAGCTCAACTCCCGAATCCAGCCGACCAGTCTGACATACAGTACTATATTGAATTATCGTATGATCACATTCTCTTTTTGTGGGTAAAACTCAAGAAAAAAATTTTTTTTACTTGTTTTTTTTTTTGTTTTATTACAAAAAGTGCATTTTATGATGAAATTGATGACAAAAAAACAAGAATTTCTTCATATTTCGCATAGAAAAATACCGCGAATCAGTGAAAAATACCGCGAATCTGCGAATTCCCCCTGAAAAATGATCCAAAGAAAAAATCCGCGAAACAGCGAGTCCGCGATGAACGAACCGCGAAGTAGCGAGGGATTACTGTACTCTATTAATAGTCATCTTTCAGTAGAATACCTGGTAACCAAGTGGTGTGATGGCTGCGTCTCCTGAGAATAATTAATGTTATTCATGCCCAGTAAATGTGGAAGAAAATGTTATTATTTTATTTTTGGAAACCTTTTATTTCTCGTCGGTTTGCTGCTCATGATTTAAAGTCAAATTCCCAAAACAACAAATGAAACAAAAGGTGTTGGGTCCTGGAGGCTGAGACCGGTCTTGATGGTGCATCGATGCCCTTTATGAAAGGTGGGACTCAAATAAAACAACACTTTGAAATATTGAAGCTGTAAAGGCTGAATAATTCATCAGTATAGTAAGGGTGGGAGAGTTCTGCATCCGTCTGGGTGCACGAGAACCTTTTGCACTTCGCAGCAATCTGAAAAATAAATAAATTTTCTTGTAGATGAAGAAAACAAATATACAAACAACCCAAAGGAGCCAAGTTAAAGTTTATTTACACCTTTTTCTAAGTAAAACCCATCCACGTTTTCCTGATTTAGACCGGCAGACGTATGAGACTTTGTCCCTTCATGTGATTTAGCTTTGGAAAATGAAAATGTCACATGTGCATACGTGTTATTTGACTTAGTTTGGTGCAGCCACACAAAGTGACTCGTCAGAAGGTTTAGTTGTTAAAAGAAGCAGCTCACAGATGGAAAGTCCAACAAAAGCAACAGTTTATTAACAGATGAGCAGCTGAAATGGACTCCTTGCCAAACGGAGTTCAGAGTGACGTTCACACTGTTGTTTTATCATTTCAGCATGTTGTCCGTTACGCTTTGTTTCCAGTCAGCTGAGCTCCAGGTCTGGTGTGCTTGCGTGTGTGTGTGTGCGTGCGTGCGTGCGTGTGTGTGTGTGTGTGTGTGTGTGTGTGTGTGTGTGTGTGTGTGCGTGCGTGCGTGCGTGCGTGTGTGTGTGTGTGTGTGTGTGTGTGAGAGAGAGCTCTTTCTTCCTGTCTCAGAAACAGACGGTTACTAATAGACTTGTCAGACTCATGTTTATATCCAGGTGGGAAAACTTGCCTCAGCTCTTCGGTTCTCTTCTCTCTCAGCCGTCTTTCATCATTTTTCATTCATCCTGCTTGATTTGTTTTTTCATCATTCTTTTCTTTTGTTGTTTTTGATCTTTCTTTTCTAGCAGCCTCAGCGGTTGGGTTTATCTCACCTTAATTCCCTGGCTGCATGTGGAACTTGCATAAGAAGACAAACCCTTTGTTTCATGTTGCTACCATGCTAGGAACCCCAACATTAACTAAGTTTCATTAAATTAGCTTTTCTTATTTTCAGGATTAATTTGTTGGGGACGTTTTGATCATTTTGCTTTGCTTTTACACATTTCTGTTTGCACGCTGGCCTTACTGCAGAGGAAGCAGCCCTTTGATTATATTGAGATAATTGACTCATTCACTGCCGTCGTCATTTGCATGTTTTTACTGTGTGGGCGTCGGACGAGCCCCCGCACCGTGAGAACAAACATCTCAGCTCTAAAGCCGATCTTCATCCGCATACATCACACGTCACGTGATCCGGAAGCAGAACATCCATGTGTTAGGAGATCGTTTTGGGTCGTTCCTGTAAAAAAAAAAAAAAGTGAGGCGCGGACCGGAAAAGCGTCTGCAGATCACAATTCGACAACGGATTATGAAAGAACAGATAACGCTCGAAACACGCGGATTCTTCCTGATGTAAGAGGTGAGTCTCCGCTTTGTTTTGGTTGTTTTGTCATCGACATCATCCTAGCGCGCAACGTTCTGTGACTCTTACAAAAACAGTAAAAACGGTGAGAAACGCTGGCAGTGAATGAGGTAAAGGATGAGGAACTCATGGTTTTCAAAGACAACCCACTTCTAGTTTACTAATGACAGGCCAGGACCCCAACCCCTACTGCTTTATGCATAGGCACATTAAATGTGATCATTTAACACTTCATACAGACATACAGAGTTTATATGGAGTTCTGATTATACTGTAGGGTAAGCTATTGGAGTTTTATAAATGTAACGCCACAACTTTAGCTCAGACAAAATGGTGGGGACTCCAGAAGGAACCACTGAATTTTTATGGTAAAAACAAGGACATTTGAAATACTTTAATGCTTTTGTCCTAATTAAAACACAAATTGGATCATTAGTGAAACATATTAGTCTTCGTAGGGGTGGTATAGGGAGCCTAAGTTACACCCATCTACTTCTGGACCACGGGTCCCCGGAAGAACGAAAAACGGGGCTAAAACGCTATTTTCTAACTCTGCTCGTTATGTTCCATGGATTTCACATTTGTCTGTGAATTTTAATACCACATTTTGACACCAAGAAAGCACTTATTTTTGAACAGGGGGAAACGCTATTTTAGGTTTTGTGTGAAAATAAGTCCAGGACTACAAATGCGCTTCACGAAAATGACGTCATCGAACCAGACACGAAGAAAAGCCGAGGGAAAATGGCTGTAAGTTCAGTGAACTTCAAATCCTTCTTTCAGGAGGAAGGAACCACCATAAATCTGGACATTTGATAAGTAGCAGCTAGGCTGGAGGAGAGGAGATTATGTGGTGACGTCACATATGCGACGTGCTGATTTCTGCTGTGTAGTCATGCAAATTTCGAACTTTTACAGCTGATAAATCTCAAAGTACGTGGCTGGCGTGGTCGAAACAGCCATCATTTTCATTTAAATTGCAGTACAGCAAATGTGCGATCCAGGGCATAAGGCAACCCGTTAACTTGCATTCATTTTTTCGTCCTTCGACCCGTGAGCCGACTGGAATGGGAGGAGACTGACGCTGGGGACACACCGGCTGCGGAAGCGCCGCGAAGCGAATCGCTCACGAAATTCGGCCGCTGCTCGCCGCTCCTCAGTTCAGATCAGACGCGCCCCAGTCGAGGCGCGCCTCGGCTCAGCTGTAGTTTTTCTTTTAAACACTTGGAGTCCTCCATTTCCTCTCTGCCTTTTCTCAGCTCTTT